GAGGGAATTAATAGCTTCATTGCTAGTAATAAACTCCACAAAGATGATCTCCACACGACCCCCCTTTAGAAACCATGGTGGTTAATTCCTGGTAAAACCGCTGACCTTGTTTCATTCTCACCTGTCCCCATCACTCATTATAATAAGTGTACTCCGCCAGAGTATATCGACAACAATTTACATCCCCTTGAAAAGAAAAAAATTCACTGAATATATATATGAATGTTAATAATATGTAGTCATATGACGACGAGGAAAAACACAGGATATGTAACATTGTAATTATACCTACACAGTATGATAGACGTGTTTGCCTGCGGTGTCACGTCATGATGTAAACGGAGAGCGTCTAGACTGGCCGCAGACAAATTTTTAATAGGGACACGACCGCAACTAAACCTACTCTACGTAATATATAAAATAGTACGTCACCAGGCGCCTACCACAGATTAAACACAAATGCTAATATCTCTTTAGGTACAAATAAAATTATATCAGTTTTATATACAAGATTAACCTGTTTGTATTATTATCAAGCATAAAGTTATAGTCTTTTTTTTAATTTGTTATTTCGAACTGTATGTTAGCCATATGTGGATAACATTCTTTATTTACGTAATTTAATTATATCTTTAAAAAAATCTTTTCTTCCATAAATTTATCAGGTGTTTAAATGTAATTATTTCTTACACAAACCTTATACTTAGTGAATTATCTTAGACAAGCTCTAATAAACAACATATTTTTAATATATATAGTAAGAACGTGACCGCTTGTGTCCTTACGATAATATTTAAACGTGTTTTGTTTGTTATATTTTATACTATATATATATTTATTGTTTTTAATAGTATTTTAGATTGAGAAGGCTACTTTTGTGATCAATAAATTCCAGTTACACTGCCAAAGCTAGTAGTAATAAATTGACATAATTTTTTACACCTAAATTCTAAAAAAGTAGGACAGTGTCAACAAAATTATCTCTTCGATAATTTTTGGAAGATATACTAACTCGTAGATAACAAATTCAAACCTCGAAAGCATTATGAAATCTATATACCTACATTCATAATTTTACATTAGACTAAAATGGAAAAAAATAAGACAGGAACACGAAAACATAAATAGACGTTTAGTAAACATACCTACTTGTGTCTAGACTCGATCGATAATGTCGAGAAATATAGGTACTGGTCGGAAATATCAAATATTAGAAAATTCTATTATTAAAAAGGTTTCATACAAATTAAAAAATGCATTTTTATATCTATATAAGTTTACTTAAATGATTACACCACAAAAAAGGTCTTTCTAAAGCTATCCTCATTTTCTTATAAAGTTTTATTATAATCGTTGTGATACTGTCTCATAGAGACAAATACTGTAGACAAATGAAACGATAATGAAATTATAAAATCTATTTACTTCATTTTACTATAGAACCTTAAGAATACACCCATATAACAACGCAAAGATCCCAAACTAGAAACAGCTGAAAATAAACATGCTATCATTAAGTTAATCAAATGTAAATTGTGTGTGTTGATTCACACGAATGATGATTGAATGGATGCGAACACATTCATAACATGACAATAAGGAAGTTCCCTGCTTACATATTGGGAATCCCGCTTGTTTGCTGGCCGCGTTTTTGTTCTGTGACTCTATGTCTAGACGTCTATTCCAGGAGGTCATACTGGCCGACCGCTTTCACGTATTTAGACATCCGTTCCAAAATGAGCCTCCCAGTGCAGACAGGCGACACAAAAATTACGTGTTGTAATTTCAAAATGATCGACTTAGTCGGCACCGTGACTACATTCTTTATACATTGCAGATACTAAGCCAGTATGTAGTTTACTTGTCTAGCTTAAAACTGACTCGTGGATACTCACGCACTACTTTACACAGAAATTCTTGTACTTACTTTCCACCCGCATCATTCGCATAAATAATTCGCATAATAATATAAATAATCTTTATTGTTATGGGCTACGATGGCCTAATTTATTAGTAACATAATCTTAGCCTTATATTTGTAAATCTTATAATAAAATAAATAAGTAAATGAAAAACAAACAAAAAAGAAATAACAAAGAAACTAATAACGTTGTTCGTATATAAATTAACATGTTTATTTTATGATACTTAGAATCGCAATCATGATCACGACTCACCTGATGGAAAGTGGTGGCTGTCTCCTTTAGACATGAACATATTATCAAGATTTGAATATTATATTCACGCGAGCAAAGTCGGCGGATACTAGCTGTATCCGCCGACTTTGCCCGCGTGAATATACAGTATCCTATATTTATGATGTGACCTATCCGTGTTCCAATTTTCATTCAAATTCGTTCAATAGCTTTTACATGTAACAGTGACAAACATCAGTTTATACATCCTTATAAATTTTCGCGTTTAATAATAATAGTATTTTATAATACGTTTCTATAGGTACGTCGTTTCCTTTTTTTTTGTACACTAGATTAAAACTCCATACCGACTAACCCGATATTAATAATTAGATGTATATAAAAGTATGATTGTTACATTAAATGATCGCTTTTAGAACTTTTATTGCGTAAATGTGTGAATGTATAAAATTTACATTAAATCACAATTCGCATCTATTGCGCCACGATGAATTACTGCACTGTGACAATGTCATCAATTTTTAAGTGATAAAAAAATGTCTTAATTTGTCTGATTTCTCTCTGTAGCTATAATACATAATTACGTCACTAGTGAACCGCTTTTCATAACTCTTTTTTGTTAAATCGATATTTTTTTTGTATTTTGCGGAACAAAATATACTGGTTTGACAGTTGTTTTGACAACATCGTTGTAAATTGGTTGAACAATCTTACATTTTTGTACAATACAGTTGATGTCCAATTTTCTATCTAAAAATAAGGGAACAAAGTTATCGTGGATAATAAAACATAGTGTAACAAACTACCGTCGACAGGTGAAGTTCAAATCTATTTTTAACGTCCTCTCCTATAAATAGGAGTAACAACAAAACAATGTTGTGGTGAATCGACGCAGTTTTTACTCGCAGCTTCGCCAGCGTATTGTCTGTAATGGTCCCGAAGGAAAGTATAAATAGATATTTTATAGTATAATCTATATAGTAGTATAAAATTTATACTACTGTATAGACATACCTAATTTTTTATATATTATATAGACTAAATTTTTATTATTTTATTATATAAACCTACAGTCATGAAAAAGAATCCGAATGTTACAAATCATATTGTAACAACAATAGGACTCTTTATGCATCGCCTATCCTGAGGATTAAAGTATAACGTTACACCTCGTGCCTGTATCTTACGCAGATTATATGCATATGATTACTATTTCGCGTTAGAAATAAATAAAAAGATACCATAAGAATAATTAATCCTCTAAAGCAGTCCCTATTCTTTTTGTGGTACCTTTTCAAGTAGATTCTGAATTTGATGGTATTTTTTATATATTCTGTACCAATTTCGATTTATTTAATCGAAGGGTTAATTCCCGTGTTGGTTCCATGTGGATAGAAATAAAATATTTAAATACTTTAAAAATATTCTTTGAAAAAGGATGTAAAACAAAATTCCATTTTTATTATTATAATGTTAATATAATCTTATAAACTATTGAGTTATAAGTTTTATATAATAATGATAAATGGCATTTTAGATATTAAGTATAAGTAATAAGTTAATATAAATGCTTAATTTTGCCAACTATAATATATGTAAATACCTATTCTTATACCTAGAAAATGATTCGTAGATTCCCAAATAAATCATTTCAAATTATATTTGATGTACAGATACATGTCAATATCAATTTTATATTAACACAGGAGTAGGTATAGCATGATGCAATGACGACTAGTAGCTGCGATGCGAACTCGCGAGCCATCCGCGTCTGATTTCATTTCAAGCTTTTTGTCCGTCTGCAATACACGGTACACCCATGTAGAATATACTAACAAAGTCGCAACTCATAAACTTTATGAACACTTAAGCTAGACAGTGACTTATATTGTGTAACTTACGAGTATACACAGTTAAAACTATGACGGTATGGCTGACATGTCATGAGCTAATTCTAAAAAATATTGTTATTTTAATAAATACATAATACAAATATAAAATATAATTAAGTAGAAAAACCATATTTTAAAGGATTATTTCATTTATTATATACTTATTTATTTAATCGACTAGGTGAACTTTTTAGTTTCCCAATATACCTATTTATCTGGGAAGGTATCAGCACAAAAGTGAATACCAATAAAGATAAAATACATATATTTTATCATACTGTCACAATTATTTGTAATGAAATTTACTTATTAAAGTGAATTGTAGGGTGAATTGATATGACGAGGCTGTTAGTGACGTATATTCCAACTAATTAACAAATACTAATAACCGATTATTAATACGAGAAAAATGTCAACTTATATATTAAAAAACAAACAAAGAAAATATATAAGAAAAGGATGGACGCGCAGTGCTAAATTTGCAAATAATAAATCTCTTAATAAATAAAATATTTTCTTACTGAATTGCACGCACAAATTCCATAGGATGCTTGATTATTAAATTTTTAAAATTATAAATAATAATAAATATTATTACAAATATAGTAGCCAGTGGTCAATCTAATTATAATCGTAAAACCTTTCTTAAATTATAATTTATATTGTTGACACTTTTCAATAAACTGCAACTATGAAATTAATTTCTTTTCTTCTGTAAATTCTGCGATTTGAGATATTTATCAAGAATTTCTTTAAAATTTCATGATAATTTAATAAGAACTACTATTTTATAACTATTAATTAATTTAGTCACTGTTAAAAACCAATTAATTAACAAATATAACGCTTCCCTATATTTGCAACATAATACATGAAAATCTGATAAAAATATTACTCATTGTTACCAATGCTAAATCTAAATAAAGGTCAGATCATTTGTTTTGATGCGTATATGTCGGTGAAAGGAATGATCAAAGCTGGATGCAGCGGCGACAGCAGCGACGATGGCGGCGGCGGCGGCGGCGGCAGCAAGGACGTCAGCGGGGCGTAACAGGGCGGAGGCGGAGGGGGGGCGTCTAGACAGGCCGCAGACGCATGGAGGCTGCGCCGCCGGCCACCTCGCCAGACTCGCCACTCACGCACACAGCTGCGCGGTGCATCGCTCGATTTCACTGCACACAACGGTGCATCTGATCTGGTCTGACCTCTACCACTCAGACGGACATTGCATTTACGTCTTTCATGTATTATTTTTTCTTAAACCGTCTGAAGGTAGAACTTAGGTATAAATATATAAAGAAAAATATAATACGTTAATTGGCAAACAATTGAATCAATACGAAATGACTTATATATATCCCCTGTAAGGGTATGACGAAAAACGTCAGGACAAAATTAAATACTTTAAAATAAAGTTAAATTACGTAATGTCCTTTTTTATATTAATAAATTAAAAAATTCTTAACAAGACAATCATGGACACAATTATAAACGTCAAGTAATTCGTTCTTGATTATATGCATTCTCGATTATCAATAATTTAATATTTTGTTCCACAAAAACCACTGAATTCAATCGTGGCGAACCAGATATTTTGATTTAAAAACTAAACTAATAAACCGATTTTGATAAAATTTCTATGAGATCAATATAAAAATAAAAAATTAATTATCCTAGTCGGTATATAAATAACGGAATTATAACGTAACAAACATAAAAAAATTTAGTATAAAAATAGCAAAAGGTATTAAACCATTATACAAACTCTTTTTCAATATTTATAATATTAGTAATGATTCATTCTCGTGGTGAGCATTACGACGCTGCTTCAGACGCCACTAATGGATGAATTACATTATCCAAACTACCGTGCTCCAACCAAGCACTAACCAGAAAAAAGAGCGTTCGCATTTTAGTGACTAGCTTAGTGCAACTTCCTTAAAGTGTTGCTAGGTTTTCATGGTTTATAAAGATTTATTTTATTATTGAAAATACTAACGATTAATATATTTATTTGCAAATATATAAATATAAAATCTATTTTAATACACTAAGGACTACGAACTAGACATGATCAATTAACACAATACTTTTTTCTGCTATTTTGTTCATTTCAACATAGTTAGACTTTGTTATTTCGTTAAGTAGTGTTACTAAAATTATTTAAAATTTTTTTATTGTTTATTACTATATTATTCTTGAAATTATATATTCATTAAGTAATATTTATTTTAACAATATTTTCTATAAATGTAACAATGATCTTAAAATTTACTAATTGATATTTTAACTGTAAATTATAAATTTTATTGTTTTAACAAAAAAAGAAAAATGCTATATATTTATTTTTTTACGCAATTAGCTCATTGGATGATCTAAACGACTCTTAAATACCAAGTAGATGCATGCACGTAGAGGTCCCTGCAAGGTTATCTAAAACTTATTCAAGTGCATTAACAACAAAATTTTATATAAAATATAATTTTATTTTGCTATTTTATTTCTTCGGTATATGGTACGTCATATATCATTTAAATATTTGTTTGTGTCGTAATATCGTGTTATAAACCAAAAGTAATTTGGTCAAGATTAAAAGCATTGTTTTAGTTTATTTGTCGGTAATTACCATACCTACTTGGCAGCTGATTTGGCAACTGCAATTTCACTTTGGTGATGTTTTAACCCTACAATGCATGATTTTTTTAAATCGTGTCAAAAAAATATATGTGGTTCTATATAGTGTCTAGACATAGTAAATGATAATAATAACAATTAAAATTCATTGATTTTGTAGATATTTAGTTTTTCAATTCTGTTCCATATGTGGTACTGTATGCATTAACACTAATATTTGGATTTTAATTAGGAACAATGAACATAATCATATATTTAGTTTTACATTAAGAATAGCTTTATTTATGAATGAAATTTATTAAAATAATTATTGTCTTTGTTTAAACACAACTTAACACAACACTTTTCGCAAAATATATATGTATTTCCTTTACATTGTGGATACTTATAGCATTGTCTCTTCTCATTCCATATAGGAAGATGATCAAATTTATCAAATCTTACATCTCGAGGGGGAAGGATTACTCTTTTTTTCTTCTTCTCGATCATGTCATCTGTGGTAGAAGGCGATCTTACTCTTTTTCTTTGTAACGATGGACCACTCATACAAAGTCTTTTAGCGATTTCCAGTTTAAAATGTTTTAATTTAATCTGAGTTAGGTCATTCTTCTATTCTCTTACCCTTTTGTGCAGCAGCCAGCAATTTATGGTGACAATGTCTAGAAAATGTTAAAATAAACGCAGATACCATCTTTTAGTATGTATTTTTATTTTATACTTTCCAAGAAAGAACTCCAAAACTGGCATAGTGAAAAAACTTCTACTTTGGTGTCATGACGTACTTGGCCCTGAAATGCTAGCTTGAGAATTTGTTAATTTTTCATTCTCATTTTCAGCGAAGGTAGTACCACAATTAGTAGAAGAAAATGATGCATACCTGGTAGGCTCAATATAATTTTAAGAGTCACTATCTTTATTCATTTGGTGCAAGTTTTCTCTGATTCTCGCCATGTTATCATCATTTTCCACACCCAAAAGCCTTATATGCATTCCCTGACGGTATACCTAAATACTGCTCAATCAACTCGTTAGATAATACCTTTTTCACCATAATCTGTAATAAAATCCAACCGAAACAAAATGTTAGAAGTGAACTAATGCATGATGTGCCATATCTGGTACTCTTAAATATGATATGTTAGAACATAAAACAGTAATATTTCAAAAAATAACTTACCTTCATTTAATATACACTATTTCCAATGTAAATGTATTTTTTCCGCTTCCAAATATTCAAAAAGCTATTTTTTTAAGAATTTTCTATTTACGTAAACCACGAGTTCGCGTCGATCTTTGAAATTGTGTACGAAATACAATATCAATCGATAGCTAACACGTACTGGTGACAATTGCCGTTACTAAACCGTTGCTAAATGTATAAAGATTATTCTGTCGGTCGACAAATGACGCTAGGTGTCTTTAAACGAACAGTAGACTTAATTATTTTATTTGACCAGATATGGTACAGAATGCATTGTAGGGTTAAGAGGGGCGCTGCTGCTTATCCCTTGGCCGTTAAATTCCCTTAGACGCTTCTTACATCCACGGGAAAAGAGGCAGCGAGATCTTTAACTTCTTCGAAATTGGTTTTAATGTTTATATCGCTTGACTTTTGTATTCGTAACTCTTGAAATTTTGAAACAAATTACGTACTAGGTGATTTCATAAAAAAAATCTTACAACACTATATCAGAACTTCCAATTAATTCTAATCAAGTATTTTTAAAGTAAATGTGCAGTAATTTATTTTCTTACATGTAAGTTAGAAAAACCTCTATCATTTTTGCAAGTTTTATTTTATTGTATAATTTACTACTTTATTATGCTTGTTGTTATTATAAAAATATAAAATTATCACATAATCAATCCTTTAATATTTACATTGTTTGTCAAGGAAGTTTTTTTATTCGATTCTTTATCGTGTAAACGTAAACCCATTAAAAAAGAAAACAAGTATTTACAGTACAGTATTATCTATTTTGTGTACAAACTCGACTTTTTTACGTCGTATAAATGAGATTATAAACATTAAAATATGTATGTGTTAGTGACCGAGCACACGCAAAGTTAATAATTCCTAAAAAAATAAAACAAAAGCAATCATTAAGCGATAGTTTAGGCTAGCTCATTATTTACTGTTGACTTATTAAATTAATTATAATTACTTGTTCATTTATGTTGCTTATGCATTTAGATAAGATGGAAAATACATTAGTGCACGGACGCGTTGATCTAGAGTCTGACGTTACTTAGACACTGATAGACACCAGACGAGATAACAGGTTATTCTTAGAACATTAGTGTAATACGTACGTATTGTCAAGTAAGGTTGGGTTTTTTAAGCAATTAGGAAACTGGCAACAACCTTTGGAAGCCTCACTTATGCTAATAAATTTGTTTGTTCGTAATGATAACCTTTATTATTTTCCCGCTAAACTCCCTTTTTTGGAATTATAATAATATGTCATATTATTATTTAATTCTGTGACATTACGCTAGTAACTCTAATTTGCCGTAAAAGACTTGGTATGAGTATATATTATAGATATTATTTTACAGTCAATGTGTATTCCACAGGAATAAGGATACACTGACACTAAACTCTTTTAAAATATAAGTAATCATATTAAATTTTGATATAATCATATTCATTCGTGTGTACTACGTATTAATATTATTTTGATAACCGATGAGAACAAAGCGGAACACCGGGTGCAGTGTGATAAGAAAACCGCGAAGAGGGCGCCGGAGCGGGGCGGGGCGCTGGCGGCGGCGGACGGCGACGATGCGAGGTCGTCGCTCCACAGCACGTAAACAGATAACTCATATGATATTGCCACTGGCACTGCCCACACTAGCACGACTCAATAGCTGGTGAAACCATCACATATTACCTAAAAAAGACTATTATATTAGTATAAGAATAGGTACATTTTGTGCATGATTGACGCCTGTGCCAGACGAGTAAATAAAATTTTGATACAATAACTCAGAACTATCCTTTAGGTCAACGTCCTCGTGCATGTCAATGTTCCAACTAGGCAATTTATATTACTTCAAGTTTACCTACATCTCTTTAAAATATGCGTTTTACTTCAGCTAAATTCTTTACCATTTAGATTATTGTTAGTTATAAGTACATAAAACTCGTATTTGCATGCTATGAAAATGTAGTATTTACCTTATGGGCCTCTAGGTTCCGTAGCTAGATGCCAAAAGACTTAAAGATAATGAATAAAATCTTATAATTTTATTATATTTACCCATCTGTCTAAGTATCACAACTTTTGCAAATGAAGTCCAATCTTCATAAAACTTTTTTTCCAGAAAAATGTAGAAGAATCCCCACAAAAAGATATAAAGAAATAACAGAAGAATTCAAACCTTTTTATTATCAAACTTTATTATAATATATATATATATATATATATATATATTGGATCACATCCAAATAATCTTCATTAAATTCCTATATCTTAATTACAGTCAGAAAATAAATAATCCACGCTATTTATCGTTGAACCTAAATATTATTTTTAATATTTTAATAATAATATTAAAAAGCCTTCTAATTAGGTTACCATCGCTAATAAGCTATTTATTTAACTTAAGATAATTAGTGTGTACAACAAAGTAATTAATAAATAAAATTGGAATATTTACTCTCTACCCTAAATATCTATCCTTAGATGGATACGAGCCATCAACTGCAAATAGTGCAAATTGGTTATGCCACCGGTAAACCAACGACCTTCAAAACGTTTACTAAACCTATAGTATCTACAATAAGATATTTCACAATAATACAGACAATCAAGTACCGTTGTCTCTCAAACAAACATTCGATGTCAAAAATGCCAATAAGATTTTCATCCATGTAATACTAGCCGTGAACTCTCAATACATTCAAACCCCAAGAACAGAGAGATCGCTCCGTGATGCCTACAAAGATTACCAGGACAGTTAAGCTCTGAACTTAGCTGACTCTACTTTTTTTTTGATGGATGATAATGGAATGGTAACCCCGCTTGCGCTATCGGTAAACACTGGCAGGGTACCAGTGAGGGATGATTGATGAGGATGAAAAGGCAGGTCAGTTAGCTCACCGTGACGAATTTAACGATAAATTAGTCACGATGGTTTCCAGCGGAAATTAGGTGAAGATCGACCTGATAAGGTATATTGATAACGATGGGGACTAACCTCGCCATTACTAACAATCCCTTTCCCCCCAGCTGACTCTACTAGGTACGGCTCTACACGCGCAAGGGCCTAAATGACAATCTAAATTCGGAGAAGAGAATGGAATTTATATTTGCTCAATCAATACCAATATAATTGTATATTTATGATATACAAAAGCCCAGTTCAAGCTAAATGTATTTCCGTTAAAGATACAAGTAAACTGAGTGTTGTCACTGTACCCAACTGTGGTATCCTAAAGTATATACGTAAATACACATTTTGGATTTCTATTAATTCATGTGCACATGATAGACTAATATATATATATATATATATATATATATATTCTGTTGTTTTAATGTATGGCGTAATTTAGAAACAATAATAGTACGTATTTTTATCAAAATTAATCATTGAAAAATAATACAATACTACTACATATAATATGGAATAACAATTAATTACTGCAAAATTCTTTCTTCTTTTTTAAAATTTATTACGATAAAAAAATATGTCAAAACTTTTATTAAATTATGCTAAATATAGAAAAACTTAATCCATATTTATGTTAATTATGGATTTATATAAATACTAGGTGTACCCCACGGCAAAGTTACGTACCAAATTTTATTCAATTCCGTTCAAGAGCTATTACATGAAAGAATAACAGACATCCATCTATCCATCCGTCCATCTCTACAAAATTTCTCATTTGTAGTATTAGCTAACATTATTATTAACTTATTGTTGTTACTGTATGTTTTAGTACAATAAAGAATATATATGTATATGTAAATAAGGTAATAGGATAAAGTAATATACTTCTGCATTCCCAATATCATATGTTTTTATAACATAGAGGGCAAACGAGCATGCAGTTTACCTGATGGTAAGTTATTACCGCCATTCATAGGCACTCACTACATCAGAAAAATTTCAGATGAATGTGCAAGTTTTCTTGAAGCTTTCGATGTCGTATCTGTAATCATATAAGCTAAATCTCAGTGATCAAATATGTTATCATATTATCCGCAAAAGAAACAAGAAGGGTACCTTGTTATATATATATAGCTATATGGGTATCTAGCTTAGAGTCGTCAAGTAAGTATAATAAGTTCACATAACTGACAAGATCAAGTATTTATTTATTTTATTTATTTATTCTTTATTGCACAATAAAACTTTGTACAAGTGGCGAGCTTAATGTCATATGGCACTCTCTACCATTCTCTCTATGTCGATTCAAGTAAGAAAAGGTTTCATTTACAGGCAAACGGAGTTAGAGCAATCCTCCACTAGATGTCGCAACGAAACGACAGCGTGGATGAGTGACTCTAGATCATTAAAATTCCTTATAAGTTATAAGGGCGTATTATAAGTTATGATAGTCTAAGTTCATGAGGTTATTAATATTCAGCAATAGACAATAGCTTATACAATCTAATATAAAGATCGTATTGTGACATATCGATGTAGACAAACAAACAATGCTTCTGCTATTTGTGGTTGGCAGTCGGAAAACAGACACTACTCTACTATAATATACTACACATTTCTATATATTATTATTGATTGAAACTATTTAAATAATGATGTTATTAATTAAGCCATTTTCGATAGTAGACCCCTACATTTGTCGACGTTTTCAAATATCGTAGAAAAGACTTCAACGCGTGGGCGTACGCATCGTATATATTTTTAAACCGGGTACTTGGTGTTCTGTTCAGACTTTAATTTTTATGTATTTAGGTCAATTAAAATGTTTTCAGATATTTCTTTATATCTGTTAGTAAACAATTTTATTTCTATAGTTCCCATCGACAACTTTCGTGTATTTTTCTTATCTTTCTTCCTCTTCTTTTTACAGCTTTTATTTTCAACGACAGTATAATAATTAAACTTTGATTCAAATAAAATTCACAATCTGCTTTGAAACTCATTTTTCTTTGAAAATCATTCAATATATTTTATGTTAAACATGCTTCAATGAACGTTTAATTGATAAATAAAAACAATCTATTTGTTTTGTTTGATGACAAATGAAAAGGATGGAAAATATGTTAAAATTCATACAGAAAGTGGTAATTAAACAAACTATAAATAGTGAAATATAATTGTAAGCGAGACGGCGGGCGTCGGCAGAGGCGGCGTGGCGGTGGCAGCGGGCGGCGATCGGCGAGCACCGGCAAGCGGTGCTAATGAAAATTTAAAGTAACCTGTATCGAAACTATGGTCCAAGTCATCAGTGGAAGCGTTTTCAGCAACAACTCGGTGCAATAGCGTGCTACTGTATTTTTCATTATTATGAATATTCTTTTAATGTTACAACTATGACATTTGTAAGTATTTTTTAGAATTTAAACTCGATTACATGTAAAGAAATGAACAGATTTAAATTAAGTATGTTAACGGAATTCGTACTTCTTATCCAATTCTCTAAATTTGATCACATAAGACTATTAGCCTACGAATGAGTGTTGAATCAGTGAATAAGTAAGGTAAATAGATATTGAAATTTTTTGAACAATATTGAGTGTAGGTGAATATAAGATCATATTGATTTTACAAGAGATAATAAAACTTTTTATTAAAAAAAAAGTATCTATGTAATAAAATAAAGATATCCGCAGAAGAACCAATGTATCAATAGACTGATCATGCTATATGATGAATCCGAAAACCGATACTCCTCAAGATTTATCGGTTTTCAATACTGACTTACTTTCTCAAGAAAGTAAGTCAGTATTAGCAGATGCAATATATACACCTTACCTTCAACGTCAATAAATGCAAGTAATTGAAAACTAAAATCACTGAATACTATGTAATGTAATGGTTGTACACTGTACACTTACTGTACTTATTTAAAATTACATATAATATTAATATTATTGCTGTAACTTATTTAAACTACAGTTATGTTTTTACGAAAAATAATTTTCATTTCATTTCAACTGTTCTTTATGGCAGTTCCATAGAAAACATACGATAAAAAATTGTTGCCGCTTACGTATTATGTTGCGTCACTTATGGCCACTATAATAAATGGAGCAGCATCAAGGATCTTTTTTGACATTAACTTATTTTTAAAGGGATAACTATTATATAACAGTTAACGAAGTCAAGTAACTAAACCCCATTCGTTTATAAATTAAAGTAAAACTGGACCGGGGGTGTGAGGCGCGTCGCGACGAGGGGCGGGCACACTAGCCACATGCTCCGGTGCATCGCAACCTCGGTGCAGTGACCCGCACCCCGCGCCCCCCGCCCTGAGACCCGCAACCTGCACAGCCTTCACATATAAAATGCACCTACATATACTACATATCTCATTTACCCTGTTGGGTAAATGAGATATGTAGTAGTATGTATATATACAAAGATCTGCACATATTTATAATAAAAGGTATTATATTTATTGCACTGTTTATAATGTTCTAAGTGTATTATAAAAAAGTAAGGTGGTGTAGAAATGTAGCTTGGAATAGCAAACGAACTGACGCCCTGATGATGGAAAGTAGTACCTTTACAAAGATAGGAACGACACCATAGATATCACAGACAGCAGTACGAAACGCATGATAATTCTTATGATAACCCTCACCATTATAATATAAATCCTGTAATTCCCCATCCTTAAAACAAAGAAAACTATGCCGCGCCTATAAATTAAACATTTCATTCAGATGCTAATCTAGTCGGTCGGATTGCATTTGAATGAATTATTTTACTTGTATATTTAAGAAATTTATTACTAACAAAATAAACCAAATTGTAGTCTGAAATATTTTTTTTTAACCGAAGCAGTCAATTTCGGAACTGAAATATGTGTGGTACAAAGGCCCATTCGAATAACATATGTAAAAACTCTCCGTCTACTACGTACTGTAGCCACTCTTTCCCCCTTTCTAGAGCCTGACCTATCTAATCACAAATATTATGTAAATATCATCATTCGAAATTGTTATTATTATATAATGACAATCATGTTTAAGTGATTTTTTATATTTATATTGGAAGTTATGTCATAATCAATATATTGACTTTTAGACTTTCACGTTGCATATTTTGTTTTATAAGAGACCGGAATTGCCGAGTAGACCGTCTACTCTTGACCAAAGCCAATGTAACTCGTCGAAACGTCGAGATAATTCATCCAAATTATCATAATTTACCTAAATGATAGCTTCAATCAATATATTTGCCAATTCTGGATAGATTTTGATGATTATTTTTGGGATCAATAAGGTTCACACTTGTGTTGCTCCCATTTTTATATTATAACTTTTTTAATAGTGTATCTGAGTAGTTTTTATATAAAAGAAATTTCATATTATTTAAGAAATGATAATCAGGTATGCTGAAGATAGAGTAATAAATCTATGTAACAGACGTAAAAAGTAATGTTCTTTTTATAATGCATAGAGAACATACGAAGACCATAAAGGGAATTAGTCTCAGAAAGTCCTCATCAATAAGGTCAACTTTGCAGTTTTATCTAGATCAAGTTTTTTAACTTTCAACGTCAATGTCACAAAAAAAAACCTCTCGAATTTGTGTACTAAATTTTGTTTACATCTGTTAAGTCGTTTAAGCGTCATTGAACAAGCAACCAAACAACTTCACAAACTTTCACATTTACGTACATGGATCGCTATTCGACGAAATACAAGAAACCAAATAATATTTATTTAGATTTTATAGTTTTTTTTTTTATACAACTTAGAATGGTAAACAAGCTGACGGCCCACCTGATGGAAAGTAGTAACCGTCGCCTATAGAAATGAGCGGTACCATAGACATAACAGAGTATACTGTTTCGCCCATGATACCTCCCATGCGTTGCCATTCCTGAGGACTCAGATGTTATTCCTCTGTACCCTGTAAATTCACGCCATATCCCACCCTTCAAACCGAAACGCAGCCATGCAAACACAACTGCTTCACGGTAGAAACACGAAACTTATAACGTATCTAACACTTCCATAAGCTGGACTGGGAGAGTTTATTTTTAGTATTACGTCCACCTTGTACACAAGCATGTAAATTAGTACATGCTGAATAAATAAAATAAATATAACAAACTTTCCGCCCTTTGTAAATTTCGTCAGAAAATACATGAAACATCTGTACTTGTTTCCCAAATTCTATTTAACATATGAAGTACTATGATGAAACGTAACATTTAGAGTGTACTGTAAATACGTTCATCTAACACAAGTATAGACCGTAGGTACTTGTTGGAAGTAATTGAATTTATTAATCTTTCTTTAAAACATTAGAGATAATTTGTAAATCTTTTTTCGCTTCCACTGTATTTTGTTTTTATTGCTAGTTTTTTTTTTTTTTTTTATTTATTTACTCTTTATTACAAAAAAATGTCTGGTATAAAAGGCGGACTTAATACTATATAGCATTCTCTCTCAGTTAACCTTTGGAAAACCAGATTTTCTTTTAATTTTTTTTTAAATTGAAAATTGTTGCAAATAAATTTTTACACGTACGTATCGATATACTTACAAATCACAACACATACAATGGAGAACTACTGCACATTACAATTATATAAATATACATACATGAATACATTAAACAAATATTACATAAATATACAAATATATCATAAAAACATACCAGTAGCATTTGAAAAGTTCTTTTTGCATTTGATAGCTATTTTCTTGAAAAAGATTACGTATAATCTAAGGTATAGCTATTTAAGTAGCTAGCTATTAACATCACGATAGAACTACGGGCGTAGCCGCGAGACACAACTAATATTATTATTATGATTCTAATAACCTCTAATTACTTCTATTTAGCAGGTCGTCAAGTTTGTTTTATTGCAACACGCCAATTCAACACCGAATATTATATTATTTTGTAACCGATAAACAGGATCTAATCCCTTAACAATTTCATTACGAATAAAATTAAGTTATTTTTTGGTAACCAATTTTTATTTTATTTTTTGTTTATATGTCCCATGATATCTTCACCAGACATGAGGCAATCTTGATCCTAATTTTTTTTTTTACCCAAAAAGCTTACTCCCGTGCAGTTCCTATATTAATTTTGTCAACATTAAAGTAAAATGTTTTTAAAGAAAATTCTAAAGTATCGTTATCACATGACGACCAATTCAAGATTTTGTATACCACATAAATGCGTATTTATACGATACCTCTGCCAATTTTTAACCCATTTTAATAATTCTTTTCGCGATCAGTAGATCTCCTTATTGCTTCCGTATTAATTATGTTAAAATTGAAGTTAATGATTTTTTTTTTTTGGAAGCAAAAACTTATTAAAAATTTTCAATCTTTTTCATCGATTTCAAAAAGGGTCAGATTTCTCAATTCAACTATATTCTTTGTCTGTATTTTATTCGATATTATGGAACTTTTTTGTATTTTATAGAATTTATGCTTGTAGTATTAGTTTCATTTAATTATATCACAATTGTAGAAAATATATACGATATATTTTTCCAAATATCATGAATTGATTGAAAACAAAAGAGTTGACTTCGCCCAAAGTAATCTTAATAAAAAATTTAAGAATATTTTAATTTTACATCATTTACTATTACTCTGATCTGCACAGATCTTCATAGATATATATATATATATATATATATATATATATATATATATTACGGAAATTTTATGAACTATGTCGTTCATTTTCAACAATTGTTTCGACTTTATCCAGAAATCTTCTTCAGGGTACGCTGTACAGGTACAAGTATGCAAGTACGCTGCTTTACATCGCAGCATCTCGTCTCGCACAGTTGATTATATTGCGTAACATCAGAGCACAAAGCATGCTCTATCACAGCGGAACTATGTCCACATTCTTCATAGGCGGAATGTGTTCAACCACCCTTGTAGTCATGTTTCACCCCGTCTCACCAACATAACATTTATCTCATACATACGTTTCGACAAAGTCCAAGTTGTAGTACTTGAGTGATGGATGACTCAGAAGATCACAACATCGAAATCGAAAGTCCCTGACAGTCACAACGACACTAGACAGAGTCACTCAACGCCGATAGCACCATAGCCTGCTGCCCCCGCTATCTCCGCTTCCAACCCCGCACATACCGATATCTTCATGGGCTCTACAAGCTGCAGCTTGCACTCGCACAAATTAACAGTGACCTAAGGACCAATAACTAGCGAGTTAACCTTCAATCATTGACAGCTTAGTTGGACAACGTTTTATGGATTTCGGAATTCCCATGATCAAATCCCAGCATATACCGCTGGACTTTTCAAATTTATGTTAGAATTATTGCCATTTGTTTATAGTGCTTCGGAGGACACATCATGTGATCCAGTAAACCACAAGCACATTTATTTAGGCCACCTTGTGCAACAAAATCACGTGTTTATGATAGAATACTGTAATACTAATCCGTGTATTAAATTAGTAGATTCCAGAGAAAGAAGTGGAGTTCAAAGTAATGAAAAAACTTACAGGCTTTTTTTTACGTTTACATTTAGTGAAGCTGTAAAAACCATCTGCGATCAACGGTATTAAACAGTCCGAAACAAATGCAAGTGATGCTTGAGTGAACATAAAAAAAAAAAACACTTTTCGAGGTAATTAGAAAATAGCCAGTCACTATAACCTTATCATCACAATCACGATCACTAAACAAAATATGTATTTATCTTTTAATAGTTTAGAGAGACATATAATCACTATCATTTGCATTATATTGCAAATTGAAAAAAGATTTCAAAAAGTCCGTACAAGTCCGTACATTGTATTTTACTTTTACAATTTTTTTAAATTGTAATTTTTTAATTACAATTCACATTACATTATAATTTTTAATGATTTAGAGTAATAAAGACTATTTATTACTACTTGTACTACTCATGCATTAAGAACTTTTTCACAGAAACGAGCTAGACAGGAACACTATATAGATACGAAACATTTTAGAATTTTTGTCCATCTATCAGTCCGTTTCTCTCATCTAACACAGTCCCATAGCTTTTCACTTCCTTTTTTATGTTTATGCTAGTGAAATAACTAAACTAGTAAAGGATGATAGATCAATCCTTAATAAATTTTTATTCATTATGATTATAAGACGAGACCGCGCGGAGGTCGATCTAAAGTACACGTATATTGCTAGCAACTGGACAGCTATTTCCCGTTACTAATAATCCATATTTCTTGTACCAGTTTGGTTGCCTTTAAAAAATGGCTATTTTTTATTAAATAGCGATTTTTTAAAGGCAACCAAAAAATGCTTTTTGTAATTCAGATTTTTTATTCCTGCGTACATATTTAATATAATTATATCTTTCTGTGAGAGGGACAATAAATTCTTCTCATTTTCTCATATTGTTTACAAAATTACCTATCTATAAAAATGCCCCATTTAGATACTTAATAACTATTTCAGATATAATGATTATATAGAAATATCATTGCCATATTGTAATGCAGCAACATCTTGGGGGAAAGGGATTGTTAGTAATGGGGCCTATCTGACCCATTGCTGAGAGAGGTCGACCTGATAGGGTGTATTGCATAGCAAACACCCTATCAGGTCGACCTTTACGCGGTTCCCCCTGGAAACCATCGTGGTTAATTCTAGTGGAATTTGTCACAATGGGCTAACTGACTTGCTTTCATCGTCACCTATTATCCCTCACTGGTGCCCCGCCAGTGTATGCCGATAGCGCAGACGGCGTTACTATTTAATGTACATATATATTCCGGTGTTATCATCCTTTAAAAAAAAACTATTAGTCTTTCAAATTTTGAGTGACTGTCTATAGAACAAATACTATTTTTTTTTCTCCAAAAAACTCACTATTTCCAAAATATTAAAAATATTTTGAAGTCACTTAATTTTTTTTAAATAATGCTGAATACTAAATTTTAAGTCTTCAACTGAAAAAAGGACGATCTCATATAAATTATTGGCCTTATAAAAAAAAGCAAATATTCCGAACGTGACATGCTTTGAGTAATAACATACTATTGTATTCGCAATGTCGGTTGATTTATAACATTCATGCTTAAACCTATTTATTAATCATAGCTAATCCTTACTAACAATATGCGTATTAATGTCAAAGTATGTCTATTTATTTGTTACCTCTTAACACCTTAACAGTGCACACGATAATTCATACATTTACTTGTAGTATATAGTAACATAAACTGTAAATATTAAATGTTATTGTAGAAAGCTACTAAAGGTCTATTACTGTAATTGTATTTCTTATATACTGTTAATTGATTAACTCTATGCTTTTAAATGAAATAAATAAAAATAAAAGGATTTAGGCTAATACATATCAGTCAATCGATACGTCGATAGAAGTAACGAGTCTAGATACCTTTATGCTCTTTTCAAATGCCGAGGAAAATATATTTCCTTGTGTGAAGCAGTAACTCAAGCGACACAGAATATTTATACAGGTGGAGCTTCCCGACGTATGAGAGTTCAACGTAATGTCAAACACCTATCTATATCAGAAATAATTTTACATCTAAATATAAACCGTGCATAAGAATTCACAACACAGAGAGCGCGAGACAGTGAGATAGTGCGAGTGTCTGTTTCCTTGCCAATAGCTACGACATTGTATCTATTGACTTGGGGCAGTAGCATGTTTGTCGGTGACTATTTTGAGTGAACGGACACCGCGTGTGTCAGCAACGAGGTCCGGGTCCTTGCTCGGCCCGTTTCGATGTAATCAATCAAAAAAGAAAGTCTGTAAAGGAGTCATTCGGCCACCGAGCACTGTGTTATCGACGCAGGTGCAGGTGGCCGCACCGCGATACATATCGCATCACCGCCCGCCCGCAATTTCGCGTAAAATTGGCAGCGTGTGTCGGGCGGGCGGCGGTAGCGGCGAGGAGCGTCGCTCCCGAAATAGTGTTCGGGCGCGGTCGTGTGCTCTCGGAAGCGGCGCCCCAGTCGCCGTGTGGCCGCGCGCGCGCACCCGCGTCGCTTCGCCAGCCGCCTCGACGCCATCGCACATACAAATACCTGGGTGACGAAGCGAGCTCGTCTCTGCACGAGTCAACGGTGCGCGTATTTCGGTCGCGAGAGGGCCCCGGGCCGCGTCGGGCGCGCTGCCCGCGCGCTGGCCGCCGTGCTCTGGTGGTGGTGCGTGGCGCTGCTGCGGCTGGTCGCGCTCTGCGCTCCCCCGGCCCGTCCGGCGTCGGCGCGCCGCCGCCGTGCTACGCCCGCGCCGCAGAAGATGCGACGTCGGAGGCTGCTCGCGCGAGCGCGCCCTCGAACACCACCGAGCCACCGCCGCCGACGCCGACGCCCGCGGCCGATCCGCCCGCACACATCGGTCAGTATTGAGACCGCGTTTATCGCGCGCTAGCTCAGACAAACCGCCGTCGTATCCATAACCACGTCGAAAACCTGACAGGTCGACGCGTAACTTTATCTTATTCCGCACGCTACTATTCATTTATACTTAACAGCTAAACTATTTTGACATTTGAAGACTTAGTATTATAGATAATGTTATTAATGCTATTAGGTAAATTATGGAATATATTAAAATTTTCTATCTATCATAAAGTTATTAGATACACTAAAATTTAAAGTACACTGTGAAAATATATAATCGTTATGTTATATTATTATAAATTTAATGGGCATGGACAAAATTGAACGGCAAGAATTATCCATATAATAACCTATACCCGAGTAAATAAACAGAACACAGTCGTATACATATCCTGCATGTAGTAGGTACAAAGTAAACATGTCCATACTGATAACAACTGCAGCATTTTTTATATTATTTATTTACAAATAAGTAAATATTAAGACGGCCTATAAACTTTTGACACCAGAAAGCGCCACCCTAACACAAGTTGTAGTAATAACAGTATTTATAGGACACTAGCTTTTCCCCATGACTTCGTTCACATGACCGGGTTAATTTTTATTTTCTTTTTTACGCAATAAATAGTAGCCTATCTTTCTTCATCTCAAACAACACGCGTATACTAAATTTCATGACGATTAATAGAGCCGTTAACACTCCTAGTAGTAACAACAAACTCTCTTTCACATTTACAATATTAGTAGGGGTTAATATATAATATGAATATTCTCATTTATTTATTTATATGCTTGTGTTTGTTCACTTTTAATATAGATTTTAAGTTATGACGAAAATTTACACATGCGGTCTTATTCCTTTAAGAAGGTCTTCCACTCAACTTTGAGAAATTTTATCATAATCATTTAGTAAATAATTATTTTTATCTAAGTTTATACTAATACTATAAAGATTTAATTGTTTGTTTGTAATGAATAAACTCAATAACTACTCAACCGATATAAACATTCTTTCGCCTATATAAAGCTACTTTATCAATGAGTAATACAGGCTATAATTATTTTCAAAAATTATATGTACCCGTGAAAAGACGGGTTGGATCACTAGTATAAGATGCAATTAATAATATATAAATAATACATTATTAAAAGTCTATAATATATCTAAATGGTTATAACATCTGCAGTATACAAATAATAATCTCAGCTGTGTTTGTAAATATTTTTTCCGACGAACTTCTGTGTGGGGCGTAGTTAGCCAGCGTCGAGTACTAGAAAATCAATACGGGCCTGCTGCCACCTAAATGCCTACATTCAAATTCTGCTTTCCGTTTGAGACCATCGTGGGATATATATCACTATATGTAATATTTCCAACGAGATGAGTTTCGTTATCGTTAGAGACTAATGTTAATAAAGGCCAGACGGAGGTATAAGATGTAATACAAGGTGCGTGAGAGAAGTCAATGACAGATGGGTGCGGCGCCGGCGGGGCGCGTAGATATGGGTCATCAGGACGAAGTTTTCGCCGCTCATATACAACCCTCACCCACTCGCCGCCTCCCCTAACGCTACCTCTCCCCAAATTCGCGATACGCACTGCGCAGCTACAGAAATCTTCAAAACTGTGAACACTCGAGAGCTATGAATATACAGTTTTATACCTAGTCCATCTTACGGAATTGACAAAGACAAAACATATGTCACGTTTCTCAGAATCTTAAGCGTAAAGTCATGTAGACATATCAAACACAGGTCATAGAGGCAGTAAGACCGTGATAAGCACATAACACAAGGCAATTATGTAGATATTCGTACTGTATTCCATATGCTAATTAAGACGTTTGATTATAACATTATTGTTCGCAAAGGTCCCTTAGCCTTTGTAATTGTCGAATCAAGGAGACATAATTATTATGATCTTATACATATTTAAAATTGTATCAAAAGACTTCAAAAGGTGGATGCTCTTATATTTACTATGTATTTTTAGATATTTTTTGTTGGCTAAACGCAATAGGTTTTAATGATTCTTTTTTAATTAAAAGAGTTCAAAGAATTCATTATTTTGGTATTTCCAAAGTTAATTTAATTTGTTACATTGTTGTAATATGTTAACAAGTTAATTTTGCCAGCTTTATTTTTGTACAAACATTAAATATAATTATTTATTTATGAGTATATTCGCGATAAGTGGATATAATAACGATGGAACTATATTGGCGACATAATACATAGAAAGTTCTGTATATAAAATAATGAATGATTTTATGTACGGGGAAGTAATAATCGGCAGTCAGAGTAATCCCAGTCCTACGCCATAGTTGTTCCCATACTACTGTATGGAAACGACAGTTGGGTATATAAGAAAGAGAATGAAAATAGAATAAACGCGGTCGAAATGTGAGCAATGCGAAGAATCTGCGAAGTAAAGCTGGCACACCGCATTCGTAACACTGTAGTGCGAGAGCGGGTTGGTTTGAAAGAAAGTAACGGGTGCGAAATGAAAAACAAAGCATGCTATTGTGGTGTCATTCATGTACATCAACTATCTGTAGATAATTAATTCCATATCTTTGTGAGCCAGTTGTAAGATAAGTTTAAGATATATAAATCAGTAACATCTTTCATACATACAATCATTAACAAATATAAATAATTGTCTGTAAGGCATATAAAATCTTGACTCAATAATGCCGTTGTAATGTAAGATTATGTTTCACTAAATATTATCTTATAATAGATACTTCAATGATGATAAAATTAACGTGGGACCAATAGTTGAGTATAATAAAATAGGAATTGTCCAAATGTGTTCAAAATTAACAAAGAGACTGCGCAATATACACAAAAACAAAATATAGGAAACCCGCTTTATTTATGTCGGTTCAAATTACAATGTCATCGATCTTCTAATACCGTGGAATTTAAATATACCAGTTAAACCTTCCTTACGATTAACATTTATATTATTTCTATTATAATTCACGATTATATAGGTACCACGAGCATGACTAATGACTATCGTCAATATCAATTAATAATTTTCCATACACCTTAATTAATGATTCGATTAATTTTGTATTAGGTAAAAATTATAATCATGATAGTCATAAATAAATTTGAATAATATATATTTGATGAAGTAGATCAGATCCTACAAGAACTAGGTACAATTCAGGTAGTGCTAGACTAAAGCGGTTAATGGAAAAGCATGTTATCAACGATTACACCAAAACCGATTGTCTGTAACTAATTTTATAGTAACTGTAGTCTGTTTCAACAGAACTAAATTAAAATGTAAACAAACGAATAATTGACCCGACCATTCGACAGTCTGCTGATGTCCATTAGCATTTTAAAACAAAAAACGATTAATTGATTGAATATTTCGATTTGTTACTAATTTCCTTTAGACTATAGTGAATGTTTCTGTGATAATTTTAACAAAACTTTGTTACCTTTTCTTTAAGTTTTTATTGAAACAGATTATATAATTGTACAGTAAAAATAGTAACTAATCATTTTATTAAAATGAAATTTCATTTTGTTAGGTTATTAATTTGTTTCATTTTTAATAATAACCCCTATCAATTACAAAAGGAGTATTTAAAAACGGTTCAGAATTTCAGAATATATTGTGCAACATACACACGAATAAAAATAGCGAGTTGAGAAAACTGCTTAATAAATAAAATTGTACTTCTTAAAAACCGTCACTACTTAAACATTTTCTAGTTCATTATGTTATCTAGATTTAGCCTTCATCACCAAGTGTCATAACATTGATATCCTAATATTAAATCTAAGAGTATATGAAAAGATGCCTAACAAGATGTTATTAATATTATCTATAATAAAGTCGACACTGGCAAAAATGTGCTCTAATAAAAGTCAATGATTCTATTAGTATTATAAATACGAAAGTTTGTAATAAACGATGAATAGATGAATGGACATTTGTTACTCTTTCATGCAAAAACTACAAAACGAATTTAAATGAGATTTGGTACACGGGTAGGTTGTATCCCGAATTAGGATACCTTATGTATTCATTCACGCGGGCTTAGCCACGAAATACAGCTAGTAAATAATGTATGCCCTATCAATAACAAAATAGGTATATCTGTCACCTACAGGTCACGAAAACAAAAGAAAACAATTACTAAAACGCATAATCAAACATTTAACAAAACAGTATGTTGTAAAGAAGTATCGATTATGATTACCTACTAGATTCACTCACACACGACACAATAAACACTGCATTACCACCATATAAAACACAAATAAAATACTTATACTAAATAAAATACTTATAATTTCCAGACTTCAGTATACCCTAGAGACATAAAGGGGACTTATTGGTGTTATCCCTATTTCACTTGTAAATAAACATCTAGCTTGTAAATGGGATGATTAATTACAAATATAAAATTTAGATTTTTTAAATGGTCCCACAACCGAATATTGAATTAAGCAATCGAGTTATTTTCCAGGCCAACGTTATTCAACTCACGCTTTGACTTTTTTATATGAACATTTGTGAAAATAAATAATGGTGTTTGGTTTGTTTGATTCAATTTCGTTGCTCTGTTATTCGAATACCATTCTCTGAGGAACATATATAACATAACCTTTCATATAAAATGTGGTTACGATTTCAAACTTACATGATTAAAAGTAGGTATTCAACTTTTTTAAATCGCTCGTATATACCTAAACGTATTCAAATTTTAATTTCTTTGCATTAAAAAAATATTGACAAGTTCCATTATGTAAATTAATGTAAATAGCAAATTACAGTGAGCGCCCAAGACATCATCTGTATCAAATGTGTCATTGAAACCTTAAGTTTATTTGTTTGTTTTTTACCTTGCAATAATTCAAACAATTACAATAAGTAATGGGGCTGGATATCGACATAGGCTATTTTTTTTGTTTCGATTAATTACCATATCCCAGTCATGAGTTCGCGAGTAATATATGTATATT